ACTTAGAGCTTTGTAATTATTTCCTATAACTATCAGAGTATTATTTAGAGCTTCGTAATTATTAATTATTTAGAGCTTTCTAATTATTTCCCATAACTATCAGAAGGCCACCAGACAGAGAGGCACTGAGAGCCAGTGGGCCAGCAAATTTGTCTCTTTGTGCAAGTAAAAAAACCCCAAACAAATAACCCAAAAATAAACATTCAATTGAAAGGTAGCCCAAAGCAAAGAGAAATAGACCCAACATTTTAATTATAGACTGACAAAACCCAGCACAATCATATCCATCCTGACATTTAACTTGGCCATTTTGAGAAACAGCTCCCATTCCCCCTTTATCTCTGGGAAACTGCTTTCTGTTGATGTATCTTTCCATCAAGGCACAGGGGCAGATGGAGGGATGGGGGAGGATGAAAGATTATGTCATCTTCTCTTCATAACATGGACAAAACTCTATTTGCATATTAAAGATACTTTAAAAATGGTCCAAAAAACCCCATATGAGGCAAGTTTCTTATTTTAGGACATTATGCTAAATAAAATTAACTTTTTGAGATTTATTTCCTTTTCTTTTAATATTTAAGATTTTTACATATTCCTTGAACAAAAATCAATAGCCTCAGATAACGCTAATGCTTACAACAGAGGATTAAGCAAAACTAAAGAAGTGCAGGAAGAGTGGACAGTGGAACTGCAATGCAAACCGTTTCCAAAATATACTTTTTATATATATAAAATATTAAAATATTGGTAATATTGGTAGCCTGGTAATCAGAAGAAAATCCTGCAACATCACACTAAATTGTTAACTTCATGGCATTTTTTTAGGATGGGAAAATATAAATCAAGTTATTTTGATGGTTGCAAGATAAGCTTCCCATTAATTAGAAAAATAAATTAAGGGAACAATAAGGGATTACTGAGTTTGTTTGCAAATCATCCACAACTCATTATTTCAAGAACAGGCTTTGGGATGAATTAGTGGGTTGTCAAACAAATAAATACACTGTCTGATGATAGCTTTACAGTATCTGCTGGATCACTTTGCACCAATATCTGGTTTGCATTCATTAAACATTCAAATTACTACCCCAGTTACCTGATTACAAGCAGCATTAGAGATCATATCAAAGTAGCATTCCCAGTTATTCCACCGAGCTCATGCCCAAAACATTTATCTCCACAGCTTAAACATAATTTTAATGGGGTTTTCCACTGCTACAACCAAACAGCGATTTTAAAGAATTTTTTTTTTTGTGGTTTGCTTTGCAGCTTAAGGATTCTATATTGCTCTTTATGATAACCTTCAAACAGCCAAACAGAAAAACCCTTTCTTTACAAATTTTGCCTTTTTCCACTTAGTAAACAGATCTTACTGTTTGGGCACCTGCACACTTTGATGAAAGAAACACTATGAGCTACTTGTTTATTTGTTATTGTTTGTAGTATCTGTATGGAATCTCAGAAATTAAATTCCTTTCCCACTGATCCTGCCTTTATCAGAGGAAAATGTTGATTCCTCCTCCTCCAACCACTTGCAATGCTGGAGATAACAAGGAAATACAAGGAAACACCCACTGGCTGTGTGAGCATTACCTAAAGTACCCTTCAACCATGAACAGGGGATTTGATTTATAAAGATTGATCTTCCCTTAGTCATTGCAATTTTCCTTGAAGTTACAACGCTCACTAGACTAAATTGGGAAGGAACAGGAAATTAACATTGTTTTCTATGGATTATGAATTTTGAATTTTGCCTAATAGATGTTCTGTTCGGAAAGAATTTCCTACTGCTCTGCAGAAAGCCAGCAGCTCTGCAAACAGCACTGCAGCAAGGAGATCTGCCTGTACATGACAAGATCCTTTGGCACAGTAAGCAGAACTCAAACAGCCCTGGGAAACAAAGAACCACAGGTTGTTCCTTACCTACAGCTGACCTGGCAGCACTGCTGTTCCAGTAAGCTTTGAGGCAGCTCAAAGTTTGAAAGCTGGAGAAATCCACAATCAGAAGCAAAACAGGGGTAATTGCAAATAAATACTCCAAAGGGTTCTGTTATTTCAAGATGACAGGTTAACAATACTGCAAATATTTTTTTTTTAAGAGAACTGAAACAAAACTAGCTTGTCAGAAAATATTCACCAGGCAGTTGTTACCTAAGAAGCCAATAGTCAGCTTCAAACCACCAGTCTAGATGGCACATTTTAAATCTCTTTTCTTCATACCATGTTACAGTTTGAAAGGAAAAACTTAAACATTCTGATAGTTCAACATATAAGTATGTTAGCAAACTATAAAAGTCATTATAAAAAATGTAAAACTAATGCCTAGTGATTTAAAAAAATCTGTTTAATATGTGTGATTATTTCAAGTGGGTAAATAGAACAGCAATATTAGGAGAATCAGTTAGAAAAACATGAAAGGCTGAATTAAGTTTTTAAACTTGTTTAAACTTTAAAACTCACCTCTAAAACTCACCTCCACTAGAGATGTCTTATTTAGAGCTGTGTGGTTCCAAGATCACTCACAAAAACATTCATATTGGTCTTGAATTGCTTATTACTATTTAGTGTAAACAGAAGAAATTGAGTAGATGAAAATCAATAAAACATCAAGATTACTCTGAAAGGTCAAGCTGTTCCAAGGAAAAATGCCTTAGTCCAAGGCTGGTAAGAATATTTGAAATCAATTTCTTGAAGGAACAATCAGTGTACACTAAATCCAGTCCCTGAAAACACACCTCAACCTGCCTCCAGCTCTATAACAAAATCAATTAGACATTTGTATTTTCTACTTTGGAGATTAAATTTGCTATACTAGAATTGAAAAAAAATTTAAAAGTAAATCACAGGAATGTGACTTAATGAACCAGTGAAACCTCTGTTCCACCAAAACCTCTTTCTACCACACAGGAGACTCCTTAGGAAAAACTGGAGCCTACCATCCTTTCTTTAAGAATTCCAGGAAAAATTTCTTTTAATTCAGTTACTGTATTAAAAGCCAATAACAGCTCATCAGAATCCAGGCACCATGATTCAGGAATTGCTGTATTGTATCAACAAAATTCCAGTTTATTTTAAAGTAACAGAAATCGAATTAATAAAGTTAAGGTGCAGAAAAAACCTTCTCAGCAGTTGCCTAACTTTTGGTCCAAATTTCTTACGTGGAAATTTCTTACTGTGCTCTGACTGAGCATAGCCCCAGAGTTCCTCCTGATCTTCCTGTTCCCACAGAGCAGTTTTACCTTTTCCCTGCTGCACTTGCCATGCTGACAAGATCTGATGACCAAAAGCGCTTTAAGGCATAAATGCCAGTGTGTCTGAACAAAGCATTCCACACAAAACTGAGAGTACTTACACTGAGTAACAAGCAAACTGCCAAGCAATTCACTTTCTTTAACCACTTCTGAAGGGAAATTGTTTAAGATCTGCCTCATGTTTTTTCATTCTTAACAGTTATTTCAAAAATAAATTTTAAAAAAATGAGCCTATTAACTTAGACGTTCCTCTATCAACAGTTACAGTTTATAAAGCTGATGCCAAGGAATGGCTTGTCATAGACCTTTTATGGCATTCCCTAAAACTCAATATATACATGTTCAAGCCACCCACTGGCATCAACTTTTATGATTCCAAGAACTGTTGTGCTTAGTGGTATTCCCTAACAGCATTAAGGATTCTTCTTTCTGTTACTCTTTGCTTTCTTTCACAGTCCTACAGTCTGCACAGCTCTCAAAACCCATCTGGGTGTTCTAGGAACTGAACACTGGACATCTGACGGTCCAAAAAGGCCCCACTAGCCAGGAGCTTGAAGCCCACCTCAACTGGTTGGCAGTTTTACATTAAATTGTAGACATTACATTTATCACAGACAATAAAATTTTCATTTCGCCGTTTCAATTTTGCCCTGTTTTGTCCTGGAAAATTGTTTTCACTCAAATTTAATTATAGCACAGCAAATCCACAGTCTGTAATATAAAGGAAAAGAGAAACATTCCCTCTTATGAAGCTATAAGGACAAAATTTCCTGTTTTTGCTTTGACAAAGATGCAGTCTTCTGTTACTTAGGAACATTTCTGCTGAGTTCAAAACTGCAAAATTGTACAGACTTCTGAATCGCTTCCACCAATAGATTGGCTTCTTTAAATTAAGCTTCCCAACCTCTAAATGCAATATCTAGAGACACTTACGAATGCAAAAGTTCTTCAAATATGCTCTTGCCAATGAACTGAAATAAAGTCTAATAACAAAATAAGTACTGATTTTTAGTTATATGAGTTCTATTGAACTACACATGTCATGATAAAGGAAGTAACAAGCAGCTTTCACATATATTTTATGTTAGGTCAGGAAACATAAGACCATGGCTTCTTGAGGTGATCCTCAAGAATTCATGAGGAAAAAAAACCTGCTTTCCTTCTCTACTTCTTGAATTGCTTTACAGTTCTTTGATCCTCGTTTCACAGTAACCACTAAAAATATCAGAACTGAATTGTCTTTGAATTAGGCATAATTTCCACCACAAAAAAAAAATCTTCCAACTCCAAGATCCTACTTCAAGTAACTGAGATTGCTAATTTTATTCTCATAAAATAATTAATAAAACATTCAGGAATAAAAAGAGACTGCTGACACCTTCTGGCCATTTGACATTCTGTCCAAAAACCAGGAGAATTTCCAAGAAAACATCTTTCATGTTTTCCTAGGCACTCAGGATCACATGAAGACTGAAGCTCCACTGAGATTGCCATATGACAGCTCCTCACTTGCTTCACCTTTCACCCACATGCATTCTCTATTTTTCAGAAACACTCAAAACAAACAGAAATCACTTCTCTGCCTGCTACAAATGCACCCAGAACTGGCTCAATTTATCTTTTCCTTTTAGCTTTCACTCTTGGTATACTGCATCCAAGGAATCACTGCACCTGAATCCAACTCATGTTCAGAACAGAATCTACAGCAACAACAAATCCATTTTGTATTGAATTAAAGAGCCAAACCTGCAGCTTTTGCTTCTTCTTCTTTGGTTTGGTTTCCAATTCCAGCTCATCCTTTTCGGCCACATGTTTCTTCATCTTTTTTCTTTTTTCAGCCTTCTTTTCTTTTTTTTCCACAATCATTTTCGGCATTCTAAAATGCTGTTCTGTAACAGAAACCACCAAACTGCAGTTAGAACCTTTTTTTAGTATTAAATATCAGTCTCATATACAGACAGTTCTACTATAACTACACTGGTATGGTAATTATTTGTGACTACCTAACTATGAAATGTATGTCTGCACTGAAATTTGATTCATTTTGGAGAATTTTCGTGTTTCCTTTAGGAAGACATTGTAGTTAAGGTACTGTAAAACTCAAATGCCAATCCCCTGTAGGAATGCCCACACCTTTTGCCCTCTGAGGCCCTGTTGTGGAAAATGCCTCAGTGCTATCCTGGTAGGAATCCCCCATAACTTAGGCTGTGCTTTCTGCAGGTTAAAACACACCACACTGACCTGTTAGATCAACTGTCTACCTCAGATAACACCATCATGTCAAAATACATTCACATTACTATCAGTCATCTCATTGATATGCACATGTGTGCACTCACAAGCAAAAAGGAAGGCTATTTGATTACTAAACAATTATAAACCACTAGTTCTGGTTAAACTGCAAGCTTTTGTTTTCATGTAGGTTAATGGAATAAAACTATGCTTGAAGAATTCTCTCACTAGTTTTACCTTTAATTTTAGGGTGAAAGTGAACAGGAGTTGCAGACAACACTGCACCTGGTTCTGAAAGCAGGTCTAGCTGTAACTCCGCACAGTGTCTCTGCCAAAACACCTGATTTAAGTGGCTTTACCCAGCTGCACCAACACTGTCACTTTCAGTGTCAGTTTCACTTCAGCTCAATCACAAATATTTACCTTGAAACACACACTGAAATGTAAAACAACCCACCAGCCCACATCAGGAGGTTCCCAATAGAGCAGAAGCTGCCAAAGGAGGGGTTTGGCACCTCGGTGACAGCTGAGCCAGGCCTGGCACATGTGTGGCACAGCCGTGCCCTGCCCAGGAGGGCACCCAGCCCACGGCCAGCCCCTGCTCAGGACCCCGGATTTAATATAAAAAAGCTTCCCAACCTGGGTTTGCTTCCCAACACACACGCGGGTTCACATCCCAATGCACCCCGTGTTCACATCTCAGCACATCTTCAGGTTCACATCCCAGTACACACAGCCCAGCATAGCCCAGCACAGCCCAGTTCACATCCCAGCACACACACACACCCCATGTTCACATCCCAGCACACACACACCCCAGTTCACATCCCAGCACACACACCATGTTCACACCCCAGCACAGCCCAGTTCACATCCCAGCACACACACACAGCCCAGTTCACATCCCAGCACACACACACAGCCCAGTTCACATCCCAGCACACACCCCGTGTTCACATCCCAACTCCCGGGTCCGCCGCAGCCCCCGCAGCCACCCCCGCGCATGTGGCCAGTTCGGGCCGGGCCGGGCCGAGCGTCCCCGGCCCTCCCGCAGCCCCGTGCGGGCAGGGGGCCCGCGGAGGAGGAGAAGGAGCCGCCGCCGCCCCGGGGGCAGCCAGGGCTGCGTCCCCGCCCGCCCCACACGCACCTCCCGCAGCCGCCGGCCCGCCACATTCAACCGAGCCCCACGCTTGGCGCCGCCGCCCGCCCCCTGCCTCTCATTGGCTACGCGGGGAGAATAGCGATATCTGGTTGGCTGCGGAGCTGTCAATCACTCCAGTGACCAATAGGAAGCCCCGCTCGGAGTTAAAGCGCCCAGCAGGCACACGTGTGCCGCAGAGCGCTCCGCCGCTTCTGGCGGCGCGGATGGCGTCAGCTCCCCGCGCCGAGCCCCGCCTGCGGCCCGCCCTTCGCTGGGACAGTCCCGAAATCGGCCGGGCTGGCACCGCCCGGGGCCTGGCACAGCCTGTCCCGGGGCCTGGCAGCCCCCAGGCCGCACTGCAGAACGGCCGGTGGGAGCCGAGTGCTGCCGGTGACGGCAGGCTGGCCTGGACACAGCGGGGTGGGGCTGGGGACACAGCGAGGTGGGGCTGGGGACACACTGAGGTGGGGCTGGGGACACACTGAGGTGGGGCTGGGGACACACTGTGGTGGGGCTGGGGACACACCCGAGGTGGGGCTGGGGACACAGCGAGGTGGGGCTCTCTGGAAAACGGCTCCGATCCCTTTGAGCCCGCAGATCCTAAAGGCTCCAGATCCAGAAAGATCCTCAAGTGTGACCCAGCAGTACCCGTGTCCCGATGGGGTCTCTTGGAAGAGGCCAAGGGTGTGGTTTGACAGATGCAGAAAACACCTCCGAGGACAATTTCCAGGAAACAGATCAGTTTCCATGTTTTCATTTTCCATAAATACCCCATGCACAAACTTTTCCAAGTCCCCTTGGTAATTTAAAGGCCAGAATTTTTAGCACATACGCACACGTAGATGACACATTATTTTCAGGACAACCTGAGACAGACTTGTTTCCCTTTGCTTGGATCCCAGCAGCAGCTGAGATGCTGGATGTGGGAGCAGATGCTGCTGGCAAACACGTCCCTGTACCTTTTCAGGCACTGATGGGAAGGGACAACCTCTGCTTTCCTCCTCTTTCGCCTCCTCCCCACACCGAGGTGCCCACCTGCCCCCAGCCATCACTGCTGGGCTGGGAGAGCCTCTCTCCCCTGCACCATGTCCTCACCTGGAATCCCCTTCCTAAATCACCAGTGGGGTGCACAGCATCGTTTGGGAATGGGTGGCTGGTTAGAAATGATACTCAAAAAATATAAAATGCATATAAAATATAGCAGTATGCTAAGGCTGACTTAGGGTGTTGGCACACACAGGATAATCAGAGGGTGGTGGTACCTAAAACTAAAGCAGTAATTTGAGCTTTTGCTCCAATATGGATAAGCAAATAATATTTTCTATGTTTAGACTTCCTAAAATAGATTGTGTTATTGCATATCCTATTGTGACATCCTGTGGTTAAACACAGTATTACAGATACCATCGAATCACAATCTTAGCTGCAGGATTGCAAGAAATTAGATTACGTGCAGTGATCAGTGTAGCTCGTATCTATTTTACATGTTCAGTTTGGCCAACTAGCTTTGATCTTCTCCAAAAACTTCTCCAGGATGAGAAATCACACTGGGCCAAACATAAACATGGGATAGCACAGGTACTTGTTCTGTGCTGAGCAGAAATAACATCTGTCCTTTCTTAGACAAGGCTGTGACTGGAGGCATTGATTGTTTACATGCTGTCCCTATGAGGCACCATAAATCCACATTTCCTCCTGGGGCAGCATCCCCACTCCGAGGATTAAAGTGTTCAAAAAGAGACACAACAATCTTTGCACACCTGCAGCACCCCCAAGGATGTCCAAAGCACATGCACTAACTGCACTCCCATCTCTTACAGTAGCAGCAAGATGATTTTTCCCAGGTCAGAGAGCTCAGCATTGCCCTGCACAGTGCTTCTCTCCCACCTCAGCAGCACTGCAGGGGACTGAAGGGGCTGCAATTTCCCTCCAGCTAGTCCTAAGCCAACACTGCAGCCCAGAAGCCCCAGCAAGCAGAGGAATGGCTCCAATGACACATGAAATTGAGGTCCTGACCCCCTGACACCATCAGAAAGCCCTGGCATTTTTCTCACAATTAGCTGGATGAGAGGTCTACTTAGATCCCATCTGGGGAATTAGCATTGTTCATTAACAGCACATTTCAGTTTCATCAACCTATAATATTTCAGGCCTCAAGCTAAGCAGCTGGATACTCATGCAGTTTTAAAGAGCCAAGAGAGCTGATCAGGATAATAGATGGAGCATTATCTGCCTTCACTTGTTTAAGCTTTTCAGGAAAACAGCAAGAGCAGCCTCCCTAAACAACCCTGTATTTTGGCCTTATTCTCATTACACAAGACACAGTTAATGCTACTTTCTCTGGCTTCCTTTTAACCCTGAAACCACAAAATATAATCCTGCAAATCTAGATTTCTGTCTAAGGGACAATGCATGAAGAAGAATTATACTGCACGTGCCTCTGTGAGCACTAGCCTTTGGACAAGCCCTGTAAAAAAAGGGGTTTGGCTTTATAAATAAAGGCCTTCCAATGACAAACCAAGAGGAAATTTCACATAAATATTGTTTGCCATGCAGAGCTAGAACACTTCCAAAAGGATTGAGACATATGACAGTAGCTTGTATTTCATATTTTCATTTTGGGAGATTCTTAGTTCTGGCTTGGCATGACCTAAGCAAATCGACCTGTATTTCATACCATCTGTAATCTACCTAGCACCATCATCTCACTTCCTACATCAAATATTTTTCATAGTATTAAAACTCTTATTCCAAATATAGGAACAAATAACATTGGCTTGGAAAGGGTAACAGTTTATTGAATGCATACAAAATAATGACAAAAATAAGTTAATTACATAGAAATTTAAAGAGAGGGAAAAAATATTAACTTTATTTTAAAGGTTTGATCCAGATGTGAAGAGCCTCTACTATCTGCACCTGTAAGACATAAGAATGCACTGTAAGGGTTGCACAACTGGAACTTTCAGTCACATTTATTTTAATTCAGGTGCTTGCTGTGTTTTCCTCAGGCTGATGACACACCATTTCCCCAGAACTTGCCCAAACCCACTGAACAGGTGGGAGACCAACCTGCAGATACAATTTGATGTCTTAATGCTTTTATCTACGAGGCCACTTTAATCACTGCATTGTAGAGAAGCAGAGATTTGCCTGTGCTGTCAGAGCCCCTCTGCTGCACTCCCAACACCATTTACAGGTCACCCACCAGCTCTAGAGCAGTTGGAGGTGTGACAGTGGCACTGCCACACCGTGTGGACACCCAGCCTGGTTTTAGTTTGTCTGTTCTCCTGGTGCAGCTGATACCTGTTGTGCTGACAATTCCCATTAGAAGGCACTCCAGTTGCTCCCGGGGACTTGAAGGAGGGATGAGATGCTCTCATCAGAGCTGCATATCTACAAACAAACACAACCAGGCTCAGCATCTATGCACTCTGTATTTTCACTCTTCCATCCAGTTTAATCATCTGCATCTGTCACACAAATCTCACAGTCCTACTGCACAGAACAGTCAAGGTATGTCTGCCTGCAAAAAAACAGATTTTTTTTTTTTTTTAATTAAAGTTCAAACTTGGTTTGTCAGGGAATTGATTATTCTTGATTACTTTAAGGTGCTGGACAGAGCTTTAGGATTCCAGTATGTCAACCTAGACCCCAAAGGGTGCTTGAGTTGGCAAATACCTATTCTCAATTAGGAGAGACTGATGCAGGTAAGCTTGAAAAATCAGGATAACATTTGACAAGCTTTTCCTCTTGGCTCAGAAATGAAGGCTGACATTCCAGAAATTCAGCCTGAGATGCAAGAGGAAATCATGGCTATTTTATTGACATGACCAGTAGTTTCCAGAATTCCCTGTCAGCCCAAGCTCCCCACCAAGCCTTGATACCAGCCCTGAGATCCCATCTTGAGCTGAAATATTCCCAGTCCAGCTCACCCTGCCTTGGAGATGGGCTGGCTGCTCCCTCTGCACTCGTGATCCAGAGGATGCCGATGTTTTATGCAGAAGCTGCCACCACACTGTTCACAAACCACCTTCATCATCTCTTTTCTTTTGCAGCCTGGCTTGGTGCATTTGTTTGTGAAGATCTGAGTAAGAGGACAGGAAGTTGGCTGTGTTTGCTTTCTGTGAGCCATGACCAAGCTGAAGGCAGCTTAAACTTCAGCAGCAGTTTTCCTACCTTCTGCTTTTGCTGTGCTGGATTGTATTTGCAGTCCTTATCCATGTGGGCTCCAACCACAATATCTGGGATTTCTCCCTTCTGCACTGGGATAGGAGCGTTACAGAGGGGACACACTGGGACCTGCACATTCTAAGAATACACAGCACACATCAGCATCCCAGAATTAAAGAACTGTTTAGATTGAAATAGACCTTTAAGATAATCAAGTCCAACCCAGTTTTGTGTCCTTCCCCTTCTCTCACCCATAGATATTAGAAATATATTCCTAAATATTTCATGTTCCTATTTGCTAATGCTTTTAAAGATACACTTCACAACCGTAACTGCAAATCCCCATCCAAAAACCACACAGAAATGCTTTGCCAAACCAATTTGTAGCAATGTATTTGGTAAGTTGACTTTAAATATCCTTTTGGCTTTTCTGGAATTACAGCCTTTGAATACTTCAAAGCCCAAGTACAGGCCAGAGATCAAAGTTTGGACCCACTTGTTCTATTTACTTCTTGTGTAGTTTCAAGTTTGGTGTTCTTCAACTTACAGGACTTGGACCCCAGAAAATTTTAGACCACAATACATTACTTGAAATATAAAGCACTCCTCTCTGGGAAGATGCATTTTAAGTGAAAAAACTAGAATCTAGCAGTTCTGGCCTCTGAAATGTCATGTTTCTATATATTTGAAATCCAGATGTATCATTAACTTTCATCTTGAGGTTCTCCCATCCACTTTTATTGAAACCACAGGTGAAGTTTCAGAGCAGCCCTTATAAATGACTTAGCAATTCAATGACTTGGCATAATTAAACTGAATTCTGTAGGGTGACGTCAGGCAGAACTCACTTTCTTGTAGGCAGAGCTGCACTTGTGCTCATCATATCGGATGTGATCTTTACAGAAGACTTCCCCACACGCATCACATTTCAGAGGAAGGAAATCTGGGAGAAGAATAAAAGAGAAAACATTTTTATGGAACAAAGCTAACAACTCTAAGAGTACTCACAGAAATCTACAAATAAGTTCTCAAGCAGTTATTGTCGAGTCGCAATCCAGTTATCTCTGTAGAGATTAGACCATTCTTCACAAATATTAAAACTAAAAGAGCAAGAGTGGTACATTTTACTCTTTTTATCCCCAGCATAAGACAAACACAAGCCATAAGCACGTCAGGAGCTCCTCGAATGCAGAACCCTTAGTGAGCAATTAGTCAAGAGCTTAGAGCTGAAGTACAAACGCAAAGCCCAGTTTCAGGAATTCCTTTAACCTTGAAAACCATTCCTTAGCACCTTAACACGCACAGGAACATCAGCTATCACTCTTTCCCGAGTGGATAAGAGGGGGAAAGCAGAGCAGCAGAGCTCTGGTGTCGGCCACTACCCGCGGACAGCCCCGGGGGCAGCGCGCAGCACACGCGGTACCGTGAGCCCGCACTCACCCAGCTGCTTGCAGGTGCGCTCGGAGCAGTGCTGGCCCAGCCACGGCAGCTCCATGGCCCGCGGGGACACTGACACGGAGCGGGGACACCGACACGGAGCGGGGACACCGGCACGGAGCGGAGCCCGCACCGAGCCTTTACCGGCGCGGGGCGCTGAGTCAGCGCGGCCCTGCTGAGTCACGCTCCCGCCGCCCCCTGACGTCACCGCCGCCGCAGCCAATGGGCTGCCCCACCGCCCCCGCCGCCCGCCGCGCGTGCACGGGCGGGGCCAATGGGAGGCCGGGGGGCGGCTGCGTCACGGCAGGGGGCGGGGCCTGGGATGGGAGTGGGAGTGGGAATGGGAATGGGGAGTGGGGAATGGGAATGGGGAATGGGGAGTGGGAATGGGGAATGGGGAATGGGGAATGGGAATGGGGAATGGGGAGTGGGGAATGGGAATGGGGAATGGGGAGTGGGAATGGGGAATGGGGATGGGAATGGGAATGGGGATTGGGGAATGGGAATGGGAATGGGGAATGGGGAGTGGGAATGGGAATGGGGAATGGGGAATGGGAATGGGGAATGGGGAATGGGAATGGGGAATGGGGAATGGGGAATGGGGAATGGGGATGGGAATGGGAATGGGGATTGGGGAATGGGAATGGGAATGGGGAATGGGGAGTGGGAATGGGGAATGGGGAGTGGGAATGGGGAATGGGGAATGGGGAATGGGGAATGGGGATGGGAATGGGAATGGGAATGGGGAATGGGGATTGGGGAATGGGAATGGGGATTGGGGAATGGGAATGGGAATGGGGAATGGGGAATGGGGAATGGGGAATGGGGATGGGAATGGGAATGGGAATGGGGATTGGGGAATGGGAATGGGGAATGGGGAATGGGAATGGGGAATAGGAATGGGGACGGGGAATGGGGATTGGGGATTGGGGAATGGGGATTGGGGAATGGGGAATGGGGAATGGGGATTGGGGAATGGGGAATGGGAGTGGGGAGTGGGGATGGAAAATGGAGATGGGGACGGGGAATGGGGAATGGGGATGGGGATGGGACTGGGGAATGAGAAATGAGAAATGGGAATGGAGAATGGGACTGGGAAATGGGGAATGGGAGTGGGAATGGGAATGGGGATGGGGAATGGGAATGGGGACGGGGACGGGAACGAGGATGAGGAATGGGAGGGGGAATGGGATAGGGATGCGGATAAGGATGGAAAATATGATGGAGGTAGGCACTGGGATGAGAAAACACTTGGGGAAACAGGGCAAGGAGATGAGTTCAGGGTTGGGGTGGCAGGTGTTGGTAATGGAGACCAGAAACTTTCCCCGTTGGTCTCTATTTTAAATGCTTGTCTCACCTTGACCAGGCACCTTGAGATCAAGGTGTATTTTAGAAATGTGGATCTCTGGAGGTGTGTGACAATGCTGGCTTCATTCACAGAGCAGAGGAGGGCTGTTGATTTCATGACATTTGCTACAGGATTGAGAAATGCCAAAGTGTTTTTCTGCCCCTGCTCTCCCCGGAAAACACCTGACTGTGCTGTGGTGTGTGACTCAGACACAGAGTGGAGCCATGAGGTCAAAGGGGAGCTTTGGGACTGCGTGTGCTGGCTGCCTGCACAGCCAGTGTGTGCTGTTGAACTCCAGGAGTGGCACAGCCACTCCTCCTCCTTCCCCATCGCCCACCGACGTGGCACTCGTGTGACTGCTGCTGTGGCTGCCAGCTTGCAGCCAGCCCACTTGGAGCGCTTCCCAACAGCACAGTCCTGCAGGATTAAATTACACCATGTCATCAGCCAGACACTCTGCCCACTTTTCAATTCATTTTCTCTCCTAAACCCATAAAATTACCAAATCTCCTCGTGTAAACCCATACTGCACAGAACCGATGAGCTGACAGAGCGTTGCATTCTGCCACAGGTTTGTGAAGGGTAGACTCTGATTTCACCTCCTCCACTGTGGGGTTTGCTGCCTGGGATCTTCTGGGACAGCTGTGCCACATCCATGCTGGGAGCACCCAAAACCTGCCCTGGGACACCCTGGGCAGGGGACAGCCAGAGTATGGCACTCTCCCCCATTTCTGTTGTTCTTCTTACTTGGTTGGTTCTGGCAGTTTGGGACAGGAGAATTTTAAAATGAAAGAATAAACAGCAGAAAATATCCAAATGCAAATAGTAAGAGAAAGTCAAGTTATCCGAGGTACTTGGATAAGTACCTTATCCAAGAACTTGGCTCTATTACGCATCAACTTCCTTGTACAACTCAAAATCCTAGGAGGTGCAAAAAAAACCCATGTGACCTGCTGAGCTTGAAGGGTGATCTTTTGTCCCTACAAAGCACCTACCCGCTGCTTGAGAGGAGTGGGATCCCCATGATCTCCCCAGGAAGGCTTGCCAAAAAACAGCGGGAGGAGCTCAGCAGAGAGGAAGAGGTTGGTGGCTTCCCTGGCTGCCAGGGAGAGCTGCTGCCAAAGGGATCATCATGTTTAATGGTGGAGAAGGGAGGAGTTTGCTTGTGGATAACAACAGAAACGGCTCTGCGCAGATTAGATGCTCTTAACGAAGACTGTAAATCCCAAGTCTGGGAACCCACATAGTGCAGGCAGGCATCTTAATAGAAATGTGGATTAGAAATTAGCTGAGGTCTTTAGTGATATTTTTAGAAGGTTGCTCCTGACAGGTTAGGCTGCTGAGAACCAGAGGAAAGTGCCGAACCCTGTATTACTTGGGAAAGGATCACACAGTGCAGTGTGTGATTAGAGGCTGGCTAGCTTAGTGACAAAGGGAATAGGTGGGTTAGGGCTGATTCGGGAGGAATTAGCAAGGGAAATTGCTTGAGAAGCAGAATTTGATTAGGGGCAGCCAGCATGGATTTGTGAGAGGAAAGCTATGTGTAACTAACTTGCTGGAGCCTGGGGCAGGCACCATTCCCTGGCAGCCTGTGGAGTGTTGGTTTTATGTAACTGATCTGCAGAGAGAAGGCCTGGCCCCTTTGCCACCAGAATGGTGACACTGGGTGGGATGGATGGCAATCCCCTCCCTCCCTTGCATCTGCATGGACTTTCTGCCTCCTCTTCCCCCATCCATCCCTTCTACTTCCCTTCTAGTTTTTATGGGAGTAGGCTTATTATTTTCCCCATGTCCCATGGTTTTCTCTTTGTCTTTCCCTTCCTCTCTCTCCAGTCCATGGGATTGCCTCTTGTCGGGGTGTTACACATCTCTGTCCACCCCAGCACATCAGCCTGCTCTGCCCCAGGACCCGCATTGCATCCCAAAGGGGGGATGAAACTCTTCAGAAGAGGACATTCGTGGCACAGCAGGGGAACACCTGTCCAGCATCACTGCCAGCCACAGGCACAGCACGGCTGGGGAGCCAGGGATGTGTTTCCATCCTGTCTCTCAGGAGAGGGTCTGTCCCCTCTCCAGCACCTGGGTTATGACAGCACAGCACAGAGATGCCCATGGCCAAGACAGCCAGGTCCATCCACCCACCTCCTCTCTGCCTTGTGCGCCCCAAACTCCTCCCAACACCATCCAGAAGACACAGCTGAGTCCCTGCCCCTGGTGTCCCCAAGGCCACCTCGTTGCCTGCAGTCGTCCTGCATCCTTCTTGTTCTCCAGCTGCAGAGCTGCTGCTGTGGCATTAACATTCGGGTGACTCCAGCTCTCATTTGCCTTTTCCAGGTCTCTGAACTCCAACCCCAATGTCCTGCTTTTCAGCTCATAATTTTGTACCAGGCTCTTAAAACTGGATTTTATTTTTATTGCAATGACCCTGTGATGCTGCCTGATCCCTCTGTGGGGGAGACATGACATCTCCATTACACAGCTCAGATAAGTGTCTTAAAGAGACCACACACAAAGGAACCTAATGGTGCCTATTTTTATTAGGTTTATTACAGGAGGGGAAGGAAAGCAGTCCGATCTCCCCACAGGATACTCTGTTAACAGCAGCAGACAGAGAGGAGAGATCTGTGGAGGTGGATCAGTTTTCCAAGAATATTAGCTACTGCTGCTCTAAAATTAGAGTCTAGGGAGAGCAGACAGGTTGACATAATTGAAAGGGCTGTCTTATGGGATGACATAGTTAAACAAGTCCATGATCAGCTTTAGAGTGACAGCTCAGCGACTTCTTCTAATCCTCAAAGGAGCACTGAGTTGCGAGGCTGTGATTTAACTAGTCCTGGATCTTATCTTGTGATGATGTCAATATTATTAGAACCTGCTTCTAAAGAGATGCCTCCAAAATCACTGTACATGAAGCGACTGGCGTTACAGGCACGACTCTGCTGCAGCTGCATCCTGCAGAGCCCGTGGCTGATGCAAACACTCCCCTGCTGCCCTTCTGACGTTCCTGATTCTGTCCCTGTGCGCTGGGCTACAGGGGCAGCTCCAGAAACAGGATTAAGAACCTCATTTCAGGATGGAGCTGAAAAATGTCCTTCAGCCGCCCATTTTATTCAACGTAATTTAATAGCAAACACAAAGTAACAAAGTTAGAGGTGAAATATAATAGCAGGAACCCCATAAAAAGTAACCTAATCTGTAAGATAAATAGACAACACTTTAGCCTGGGGAGATAGCAAATAAAAGAGAAATATGAGCAGAGCCATTCTCAATTCATAACTAACTTTAAAGAGAAATAATGAAGATGAGTTCTGCAACTTTTAATGCTCCAAGAGTCTTCTCCACAAAAAAAAAAAAAAAAAAAACCAACCCAAAAAACCCCCAAACAAACAAACAAAAAAATTTAATGTTTTCCTTATTTCTTCACACATATGTCCCCAGCCAAATGTCCTGGGTCATTCCCACACAGGGAGGCATCCATCAGAAAGGGAAATTATGTGGAGAAACCTTGCTGCAATTCCTGAAGGAGCAGGAAACACCAGGGATGGAGCTTTTCATGCTCTTGGTTGCCTTTGGTAGCCACCTGCCACTGCCTTGTTTTGGGTGCACAGCTCAGAGCACCCACTGCCTTCATGGTGGCATTAGTCTGATGTTTATTATTTTAAGGGGTTTTAGCCTTTTTTTTTTAATCAGTGCCTACTTTAACTTCAAAGGCTGGGATTTTCCAAGCAGCCTACTGCATTTAGGCACCTAAATCCCATTGAGTTTCAAGTGTGTATCAGCCCTTAGGCTCCTTGGAAAATCCTTGCTAAGTGCCTAAGGGCTCATTGGCAGCCCCCAATCTGCTGCCAGATTTACACAGATACCTTTGTACCAGCAGGAGCTCACTTCTTCACTAGAACAGTCTCTTTTTAAAAACCTCTTCCTAAATTACAAAATAAACTAGGGAGGACCACCTCTGATGGCTAATTTTTGGTGCCTGTAAAGAATGTTATATAATTTCCTTGGATTATATGGAAAAAAAAAAAAAAAACCAAAAAAAACCAAAAACTTGGCTTTATTGGCTGAACTTCTGAGACAAAATGCTCCAAGTTCCAGCTCTTGGCCCTCTAGGGAAAATCTCATATTTTGTGTTTTAGAGGGAAACCCCACCATATCTGCCACTGACTCTGACACCCACTATGTCTCCAACTCCCTTTTAGAGCACCCAGGAAAGATCTGTACAGGAGGAACAAAAAATCAGCAGATTTAATCCATTTGCTTTGCTGTTTGGGAATGCCCCAACCCAAAAGGAAAGGGCACAGAGAGCAATCAAGCTGGCAGTGGGATGGGTACAGAGGGTACCTCTGAAAGGCTGTCTCAAAGGGTGGGAATCATTGCAACAGCCCTTCTAGGAGCAGAGGGGAAATAAATCCCTCATCAGGCAATTTCTTGTCACTGATCAAACTCTAATGTCTTACTTAGCAGAAAAAGATTCATGTTCTCCATGGCAGATTTCCTGGAATAACAATTGTCTTTTTGTTGAGTCCACACTGCAAACAGCATGACAGAACCCAGTCCAGCACTACTGAGCCCCAAGTTTCCTAAGCACTACCATGATGGCATCAATTAGCAAGGGAAGTTAGACCCCAAATACTCCTTATTTATTCCATTGCTGGTTCTGAACTAAAGTATTTCACTAAAAACCAAGACACTATTCCTTAAGTATTTCAGCTGAGATTATTTAGTAACAGTGCTATACCTCAGCACTGTCTTTAATATTCTTATTTTTATCTAGATAAATGAACCCATCTTTCTTCCTATTTTGTAGCACTAAGAACAAAACCTGAACTCTCATAAGTGGGGTTTGGTTTATGCTGTCAGCACAGGAGGGGACCAAACCCATTTTTGGTAGAGATGAGTGGGTCTTCTGCAGGTCAGCAGGGCAGGATGGGCAGGGGGTTCCTGGCAGAGCTTGGGAGCCAAAAGGAAAAGGACAGATCCAGGGGGGAACAGAAGGACCCCTTAGGTCATGAATCCCATAGTGGGCAGACAGCCCTTTAAAAAAATCATCTCCAGAAGCGATGACTCGGATTTGGGTCATACCCACTCTGCAGGTGACACTGGGATTAGGGGGTAGGAGAAGAATTTTGGCTGTTTGGCTTGTTTCCCCCCACCCATCCGTGCCAAACACCCATTTACTGGTGGCCTTTCCCACCACCCTGGAGGCACCAGCAGCCTCACAAGGTGATGCTGCGGTGGGGAAGATGTCCATGCCACAAGGACAGTGTGACACTCGGGGCCGCGTGCCACGAGGTGGCACCATGTCCCTGCTAACGGGGTCACCTCTGCGGCCACCTCTGCTGTGTGAGAGCCCCGGGATTGCTTCAGGGCTCTCCTGTGGTGGGAAAGTCTCTCCTCCAACCTTTGCTTCCAAAATAAAACTCCGCAGCCTCTTGTTGTTCGGTCTCAAGGCAGTTTATTGCAAGTTTATTGCTTTGGTCAGCAGCCCAGGCAGAGACACACACACCCTGACACCCTCACTGCCTGCTGTCTTATCTCTCTCTCTGCCCAGGGCTGCTGCTATCTTTTATATGATATATTACATATTCTATGTTTATAGATTTTCCCCAATACCTACTATCCATGTTACAAGATGCTTTTCCACTCTAAACCAATCTGTGAGTGCCAACATCACCAAGAACATGGAGGCAAGGAAGAAGAAGGAGGAAGAACAGGATCAGGCCCACTTTCCTCCATCTTAGAACTCCAGACCCCCTTGTACAAAGTAAAACCCCCCTGTACAGGTATTCAAACCCCCCTGTACAATACTAAAAAATT